CGGTGCGGAGGCTCCTTCCTGAACCCCCTCCGCGAGGTGCGACCCCCCGGGGGTCTCCCCCGGGCCGCCCGCCCCGGCACCGTGGGTCTGCGCTGCCCCGTGGGCCCCCAGCACCCCACCCTGCGCCCGACCTGGCACGCCCCCTCCCCCCGTCCCCTCCAGATGCGACCTCGGATGCCAACAGGCCCTGGTGACTGGAAGCACGTGGGGCCGCGACGAAAAGACCTCCCCAGGGGCCCCGGGAAGCGCGAGCAGGGAGAGCCCGGTGGGACCCGCCCGCGTGGGGCGCCCGGAGGCCCCTCGACCCGCCCCCCACCCGGGAAGGCAGGAGTCCTCCCGGAGCCGGGGTGTCTGGAAAAGCAGCCCACAGCGGTGGGAGACGCACGGAAGGGGAACCCCGGTTGGAGACCAACAGGCAGTGAGCACCGAGGGAACCAGGAAAAGGGCGGGACGGAGAGCGTCCAGAGGGTGAGAAGCCTTTACAAGGTCCCGGGTGGGGTCGGAGGAGGCAACTGGGAACTGAAGGTGTCTGCTCTGATGCCTTGTCACTAAGGTCAGGCCACTCGGGGTCTCCAAGACCCCCCAGGATGTTCAGGGAGAACTCCCCCCTCCAGCCTGTCAGGATTCTAATGTCTCCCGCCTGTGAGGCCTCTGCAACCTCCCACCTTCCAGCAGCCCCCCAGCTGTCTGCCTCCTCTTGTAAACTCTCCTGCACACGCTGTTTGATTTTCCTCCACATGCCAGGGGAACAGAGTGGAAGTTTTCCGCTCCTTCTCTGAGCACATCCCACTTCCAAGGTGGGAGAACTTAACAGTGTAGAAATTAGCAAACACTACCAACCAGGGCTAGATTTACTGTGTTACTGAATGCTTGGACTTCAGTGATGGAGATTATGGTAATAACGCAGACGAAACTTAATCGTGTATGGTGTTTCTGGCCATGACATTATTTGTGACACAAAAAGCTTGAAGAAAAACAATGAGGAAATATCCTTCCGGTATTTAGAAACAATGACTCCATACAGAAAAACGTCGTTCACGCCATTTGAGTAAAATTCCAACATGTATCTTTGTTATTTCAGTGTCTTATTTGAAAATGAAAAGTAAAATAGCTATAACTCATATGTAATAAAATAAGCAAATGGGATGAACAGAAATTTTACAAAACAAGGTGTAAAGTTGGCAAATAAAGACACGAAAAATGCTCAAAATCAGGAATCCTTCAGGAAATGCAATTAAAACAATACAGATACCATTACACATTTATTAAAAGGCCTGAAATTGAAGAAGGACCATATCAAGTACTGGCAGGAATTTGGAGAAAATGGAACTTCCACACTGCTGGTGGGAGTGCAAAAGGGAACAATTATGTTAGATCACAGTCTGGCAGTTTCTTCAAAAATTAAACATTCATCTAACCTGTGACTCAGGCATTGCACTTTATGTTACTGACAAAAGATAAACATAATCATATAAGGAACTGACACAAATGTTTCTAACAGCTTTATTTTCAATAGTCAAAATACAGGAATAACCTAAAAGATAACCATCAACACATAAATGGATAAACTAACAGTGGTATATATCCAAAGATAAGAATATTAGCAACAAGAAAGATGAACTACTCATATAACATCATTGGTAAATCTCCAATTATGAAACATAAAGGAAATCAATAAAAAAATAGACTAAACGTCTTATGATTCCAATCATATAAATTCAAGAAAAGGCAAAAGTATCTATTGTAAGGAAAGTAAATGAATGGTTAGCTGGAGAGGTGAGAAGGGCGAGGAGAGATTATGATAGGACGTGAGGTAAATATACCGAGACAGATTAGGTCATTCTGAGGACTATGATGATGGTTTCAGATGTTCATACCTAGGTCAAAACTTATCTAATTGTATGCTTTAAACACAAGCAGTTTAGTACATGTAAATTATACCGTAATAACTGTTTAAAAATTGGCTCAATATAAAATACCTGTATGTCCCACTCTTTTTGGAAAATAGGTTTACCAACCCCATATTGACTCTGCCATCTGTCTCCTCATGTCCTCTGAGGGTCAGTCTTCCCTCAGTGACAACAAATATGGGGAGCAATGAAGGAGATGTCCACTCAAGTCAACAGGAACGCTGCCCAGGTCATAAGAGCAACATCCCTGGACTATGGATCCCCCTTCTTTCCTGCCTGTGCAGCAATGGCTGTGAGATGAACAGCACCGAGAGGCTACAGGAATCCACAAAACTCTTTTATTTTTGATGACAATGTCTTCAGCTACACAAGATAAACATGGCTGGCAGTGCTGAGATTTGTGTACAAACTGTTCCTGCACAGTCACTGTCCCAGAACCATTTCTGGATGCACTTTTAGAGAGGCACATTCGATCTAGTTGGCTGCAGTCTCCTCCACCCCGTTAAGCCAGTATTTCTTTACCAGGTTTCTCTTGGACTCAATGGTGTTACAACCAGTGACCCTCCCCGAATGAACTCTGGACATCAGGGCACACGGCTCTTCGTAGATCTGGGGAAAATATCCCCTCCACAGTCCTGTCATTCCCTGTGAGACCTCCTGTGAGGAAGGGAAGTAATTCACGCTGCTCTCAGATGCACTTGAGGTTCTCACACCAGCCCTCTCCCCACGGTCATCACTGAGACTCCTGAAACACACAGCATCCAGGCCTCAAATGAGAACCAGAAAGCCCTGCAGTCTCTCCTGGGAGGCTGTGGGCAGCAATGGAAATTTGGTCAAAAGTGGCTATTTATTTTCTACCATCTCCTTAAAAAGTTTGAGACCCTTAAAAACTGTTTTCCCTTCAGGCTTGTAGAGCCCGAATCTGTTTAAAAACTACCCCACACAGTGAGAGACACCCAAGATTAAAGAAGACTTAAACAGGAAGGCCTTCATTAGTGTACAAAACAAAGCAACGTGTGGCAGGCAGGTCTCCAGTTCATGACTAGGAAGCTGGAAAAACTCATCACAAGTTATCACATGACACCAACATGCCCAGGAAAACACAGTTGTTTTGAAAAAGCTGCCAGCTGAACTCACATGATGTTCCTTGAGTCAACAATGACACAGATCCATGCCCAACTGAGTCTAGGAGGAGGGAAAGCTGACCCCGTATGGGCTCACATTATTCCTAATTTGCTCTAATTCCTGAGAGAACAGAGGTCAGCTTCCCTGAGCACAGTGGGGTGGTGACTGATGCACACTGTGGACCTGCCAAGTGGTAAAGGTGAAATGGCTTTGGCTGCAGAAACTGGCACAGACATAAATGTGGCAAGAGCCCTAGACAGACTGGAAAATGCAACATACCACACATGCTTCCCACAACTTATGGGAATCTCCCCACTGTGCATGTTCAGATGTATGAGATTCAATTCAGACAAATGGCTCCTTGGTCTCCTCTGATGTCTTTACACCAAACCAGGGAATTGCACAACCCCTGTACATCTATGTCTTTCTCTAGTTTGAACTCTCTGATGTAGAGTGAGAGTAGATTTCCCCATAAACGTTTCCCACATTCACTGTGTGCATAAGGCCATTCTGTATCATGAATTCTCCAGTGGGAGGGAACATTTTTGGCTAAAGGACTTGCCGCAATCACTGCACTCATGAGGCCTATCTCCTGTGTGAACTCTGATGACAATGGACACTGGGACTAGAAGTGAAAAGATTTTCCATGTTAGCTGCATTCCTAAAGCCCTTCTCTATTATGAACTCTCTGGTGTGTTGAGAGGTGTGGTTTTTGGCTAAAGGATTTCCCACATTCACTACACTCATAAGGCCTTTCTCCAGTGTGAACTCTCTGGTGTTTAATGAATTGTGATCTAACCTTAAAGGATTTCCCACATTCACCGCATTCATGAGGCCTTTCTCCAGTATGAGATCTCTGATGATAACGGAGGCTAGAGCTAGCAGTATAAGATTTCCCACATTCCCTGCATACATAAGGCCTTTCTCCAGTGTGTACTCTTTGATGATAACAGAGGATGGAGCCATAGGTAAAAGATTTTCCACATTCACTGCACACATAAGGCTTTTCTCCTGTGTGAACTCTCTGGTGTATAATGAGCTTCCACCTGTTCCTAAAAGATTTCCCACATTCATTACACTCGTAAGGCCTTTCTCCAGTGTGAACTATCTGATGATAACGGAGTTGGGAGCTAAAGACAAAACATTTCCCACATTCGCTGCACTCATAAGGCCTTTCTCCACCATGAATCCTCTGATGATAACGGAGGCCAGAGCTAGTGGTAAAAGATTTCCCACATTCACCGCACTTATAAGGCCTTTCTCCTGTGTGAGTACTCTGATGATAACGAAGGCTGGACCTAGAAGTAAAAGATTTCCCACACTCCTTGCATTCATAAGGCCTTTCTCCTGTGTGAGATCTCTGATGATAACTGAGGGCAGAGCTACAAGTAAAAGATTTCACACAGTCACTACACTTGTAAGGCTTTTCTCCTGTGTGACCTCTCTGGTGTAAAATGAGGTTATTTCTTCGATTAAAGAATTTCCCACATTCTGTACACCCGTAAGTCCTTTCTCCACTGTGAGTTGTCTGATGTTGATTTAATTGGCTTCTATCCTTATAGGATTTCCTAGATTTAGTGGACTCATAAGGCCTAGTTCCTGTGTGAGAAATCTGATGATAACTGAAAGCAGACCTAGAGATAAAAGATTTCCCACCGTCACTACACTTATAAGACATTTCCCCAGAACACACTTTCCTGTGTTGAATGAACACTGAGCTATGGCTAAAAGATTTCTCACATTCACTGCACACGTAATTGTTCTCTCCATTTCGATTTCTCCGGGTATGAAAGAGGACAGATTGGTGGCTTAAGGATTTCCCACATTTGCTGCATTTGCATGGCCTTGCCCCAGTATGAATTCTTTGATGTTGATTTAGGGTTGAGCTTTGCCTAAAAGATTTGCCACATTCTCCACATACATGAAGCCTTTCTCCAGTGTGGACTCTCTGGTGCACAACAAATGAGGATTTGTACCTGAATGTTCTCCCACATTCAGGGCATACAAAACACTGTCTTCCAGCGTGGACACCTTGGTCCTGAACAAGTGTGTCTTTGGGACTGAAGGCTTTCTTGCATTCTCCCCAGGTGTAATGACTCTTTCTGCCTGGTAATGTGGCCGTGCACTGGGTGATTTCCTTTGGCTTCTTGCTGATGTGAGTGGCCTGTGTCTGCTGATGTCCCAAGCTGGTCAGGAAGTCCTTCCCAACCTCCTCCCAGGAAAAGGGCTTCCTGGACACAAGGAATCTGCAGCTCTTCACAAATGAGGTCCTGTCCACACTGCTTCTGAAGCATTTCTCTCCCACGTGCTGCTCCTGGTGCTCATGAATGTTTGCACTGAAATAAAATCGTTTTGCACAAGCCCCACACCTCAACAGTTTCAGGCTGCGTTGTGTTCCCTGCTGCTCAGCCAAGTAGAAAATGTCTCTCAAGACTGTACCACACGTCTCACAGGGGTGGGTCTTCTGAGAAGATGAAGCTGCAGGAGTTGTGGCCTGTGAGATACCTACAGAAACGCTCTGCTCAAAGGGAGCCTCCACATCTTCTGCTCCACAGCAGCAACCTGAACACAAAGAAACCCTGGAGAAGTACATATTGACTTTACAGGGAGGGGGCAATCCCATCACAAATGTTTATCTGCCTTATCTAGGAATGAGTCTAAGGGATGCTTTTCAGGACAAGAAAGTTGAAAAATAGTTGAAGCAGCTGCTGTGTATTACCAGACCCCTCAAGTCAAAAAATGGTGGAGACCTCACCAGGGGAAGGATACAAAAATAGAGTGTGACACAAAGAAGAATGGCAGGGGGTAGAGAATAGAAACAATAATACAATAATAGGGGACTTCAATATTCCCCTTTCAGCAATGGGTAGATCATCCAGACAGAAAATCAATAAGGAAACTTTGGACTTGAACTATACTTTAGATCAAATGGACCTAATAGACACATACAGCACATTCTATCCAAAGGCAACAAAATACACATTTTGTAAGTCCATATGGAACATTCTCTATCATAGATCAAGTTATAGGTCATAAAACTAGGAGGCCAGCCCAGTGGCATGGTGGTTGAGTTCACACATTCTGCTTCGGCAGCCCAGGGTTCACTTGTTTGGATCCTGGGCACAGACCTACTCACTGCTCATCAAGCCATGCTGAGGCAGCATCCCACATAGAAGAACTAGCAGGACCTACAACTAGAATATAGAACTATGTATTGGGGCTTTGGAGAGAAAAAAGAAAAAGAGTAAGATTGGCAACAGATGTTAGCTCAGGGCCAATCTTCCTCAAAAAAAAAAAAAAAGTAGTCTTAACAAATTGAAGAAGATTGAAATAATATCAGATATCTTTTCCAACTCCAACGGTACAAAACTAGAAATCAGTAACAGGAGGAAAGTCAGAAAATTCAAAAATATGTGGAAACTAAACAACACAAGCCTGAAAAACCAATGGGTCCAAGAAGAAACCAAAAAAATCTTAAGACAAAGAAAATAGAAACACAACATACCAAAAGTCATGGGACACAGCAAAAGCAGTACTAGGAGGAAAATTCAGAGTAATGAATGCCTACATTAGGAAAAAGATCTCAAATAAACAACTTAACTTTATATCTCAAGGAACTAGAGATAGAAGAACAAATTAAGCCTATATTTAGCAGAAGGAAGGAAATAACAAAGAGCAGAGCTGAAACAAATGAAATAGAGACCAGAAACAGAAAAGATAAATGACACAGAGATCTCATTTTTAAAAAGATGAACAAAATTTTAAAACTTTTAGGTACACTAAGAAAAAAAAGACTCAAATAAATCAGAAATGAAAGAGCAACATTACAACTTATACCACGGAAACACAAAAGATCATAACAGACCAGTATCAACAATTAAATGCCAACAAATTGGATAACCTAGAAGAAATGGATAAATTCCTACAAACATACAACTTACCAAGACAATAATGAAAAATTGAAAATCTGAATAGACGTATAATGACTAAGTAGACCAAATCAGCAATCAAAAATCTGCCAATGATGAAAAGCCCAGGACCAGATACTTCTCTGGTGAATTCTACAAAACATTTCAAGAAGTAACATCACTACTCCACAAACTCTTCCAGAAACTGAAGAGGATGAACCACTTCCAAATTCATTTTATGAGGCCAGCATTATCCTGCTACTAAAGCCACACAGGGACACTACAAGATAATTACACCCCAATATTCATGATTAACATATATGCAGACATTCTCACTAAATTACTACCAAACCCAATTCAACAACACATTAAAAACATAATATACCAAGATCAAGTGGGATTTAACCCTGGGATGCAAGGATGCCTGCTTGTACGGAATCAATCAATATGATATACTACCTTACCAGAAAGAAGGATAAAAATCACATGATCATTAAAATACAGGCAGCAAAAGTGTTGCAAAAAATTCAGCATACTTTCATTATAAAAACTCTCTGAATGAGCAGACCATATGGAAGAGAGAATTAGTGAGCTTGAAGATAGAAATCTAGAAATGATTCAGGTGGAGGAGGAGAGAAAACTAAAATTTTAAAAAACGAAGAAATTTTATAAGAAATATCCTACTCTATTAGGAAAAGTAACATAAGGATTATAGCTATCCCAAAAGGAGAAAAAAGGGAGAAAAGAGTAGACAGCTTATTATAAGAAATAATAGCTGAGAACTTCCCAAACCTGGGGAAGGAACTGGATATTAAGTACATGAAGCTAATCGGACTCCTAATTATCTCAATGCAAAAAGTCCTTCTCCAAGGTATATAGTATTAAAACTGTCAAAAGGCAATGACAAAGAAAGAATATTAAGGGCAGCCAGAGAGAAGAAAATGACTTACAAAGGAACCTGCATCAGGCTTTCAACAGATTTCTAAGCAGAAACCCTACAAGCTACGAGAGAGTAGAATGATATAGTCAAAATACTGAAAGACAAAATCTATCATACAAGAATACTCTGTCCAGCAAACTTATCCTTGAGATATGAAGAAGAAATAAAAGCTTTCCCAGACAAACAAAAGCAGAGGGATTTCATTGCCACTAGACCTGCCTTACAAGAAACATTGAAACGAGAGGCCGGCCCCGTGGCTTAGCGGTTAAGAGCGTGCGCTCTGCTACTGGCGGCCCGGATTCAGATCCTGGGCACACACCAATGCACCACTTGTCCAGCCATGCTGAGGCGGTGTCCCACATACAGCAACTAGAAGGACGTGCAACTATGACATACAACTATCTACTGGGGCCTTGGGGAGAAAAAGGGAAAAAAAGGAGGAGGATTGGCAATAGATGTCAGCTCAGAGCCAGTCTTCCTCAGCAAAAAAAAGGAGGATTGGCATGGATGTTAGCTCAGGGCTGATCTTTCTCATACACACAAAAAAGAAATGTTGAAAGGAGCCCTCCTACCTGAAACAAAAAGGCAAAGGTTTACAAAGCTTTGAATAAGATGATAAGTAGACTCAGAAAATTGCAACTCTATATCAGAATAGGTTAGTAAACACTTAATTATAACATAAAGGCTAAAGGGAAAGAAAGCATGAAAAATAACCATAACCACTTCAATTTGGTCACAAACTGACAACAAAAAAGAATAATTTGTGACAACAAAAACACAGAAGGGGAAGCGGAAAAGGAAGGAACGTGCATAGACTAATGGAGATAAGATGATATCAGCAGAAAAAAGACTCATCACTGATATCTTTTATACAAACCTCATGGTAACCACTAAACAAAAAATCAGAGCAAAGCCACAAATCATAAATACAAAGAAAACTGAGAAAAGCATCACAGAAAACCACCAAACTAAAATGGCAGGAACAAATACAAGGAAAAAGAAACAATGGAAATATACAACAACCAGAAAATGAAAGATAAAATGGCAGTATCAAGCCTTCATATATCAATAATCACTCTAAATGTAAATGGATTCAATTCACCAATCAAAAGACACAGAGTGGCTGGATGGATTAAAAACCAAGACCCAACAATATGCTGCCTCCAGGAGACACACCTCAGCTCTAAAGATAAACACAGGCTCAGAGTGAAGCTATGAAATATACTCCAAGCAAATTGCAACCGAAAGAAAGCAGGTGTAGCCATACTTTTATCAGACAAAGCAGACTTCAAGACAAAAAGGATAACAAGAGACAAAGATGGACATTATATAATAATAAAAGGGACATTCCAACAAGACGATGTAACATTTACTAATATATATGCACTTAACACAGGAGCACCAAAATATATAAAGCAACTATTAACAAACCTAAAAGGGAGAAATTGACAGCAACACAATAACAGTAGGGGACTTTAATACCCCACTCACATCATTGGATATATCATCCAGACAGAAAACCAACAAGGAAACATTGGCCTTAAATGAAACACGAAATCAGATGGCCTTAATAGATATATAAAGAACATTCCAGCCAAAAGTAGCAGAATACACTTTCTTCTCAAGTGCTCATGGAACATTCTCAAAGATAGACCAAACTGGGAAACAAAGCAAGGCTCAATAAATTTAAGAAGACTGAAATCATATAAAGCATCTTTTCTGACAACACTGGTATGAAACTAGAAATCAACTACCAGAAAAAACCTGGAAAATCACAAATATGTGGAAACTAAACAACACGCTACTGAATAACTATTCAATCAATGAAGAAATCAAAAAATACCTGGAGACAAATGAAAATGAAAACACAACATACCAACTCTTATGGGATACAGCAAAAGCACTACTAAGAGGGAAATTTATAGCAAGACAGGCGTATCTCAAGAAACAAGAAAAATCTCAAATAAACAACCTAACACTATATCCAAAGCCAGTAGAATTAAGGAATGATAAAAATCAGAGCAGTGGGCCAGCCCCATGGCTTAGGGATAAGTGCGCGCGCTCCGCTACTGGTGGCCCGGGTTCAGATCCCAGGCGTGCACCAATGCACCGCCTGTCCGGCCATGCTGAGGCCGCGTCCCACATACAGCAAGTAGAAGGACGTGCAACTATGACATACAACTATCTACTGAGGCTTTGGGGAAAAAAAGGAGGAGGAGTGGCAATAGATGTTAGCTCAGAGCCAGTTTTCCTCAGCAAAAAGAGGAGGATTAGCACGGATGTTAGCTCAGGGCTGATCTTCCTCTCACACACACACAAAAAGAATAGAAATGATCAATGAAACTAACAGCTGGTTCTTGAAAAGATAAACAAAATTGACAAACTCTTACCTAGACTTAATAAGAAAAAGAGAAGGCTCAAATAAACAAAATCAGAAATGAGAGAGGAGAAATTACAACGAGTACCAAAGAAATACAAAAGATGGAAAGAGAATACTAGGAAAAGCTGTACGCCAACAAATTGGATGACCTATAAGAAATGGATAAATTCTTAGCATGATGCAACCTCCCAAAACTAAATGAAGAACAAACAGAGAATCTGAATGGACCAAGCACAAGTAAAGAGATTGGAAGAGTAATCAAAAACCTCCCCCAAAACAAAAGCCCAGGACCAGACAGCTTCTCTAGTGAATTCTAACATTCAAAGAAGATATA